TCTATCTCTATCTATACAATATTATTTCTACATTATCAACAAAATATACATACACACACACACACATATATATATATATATATATATATATATATATATATATATATATATATATATATATAACCAATTGCGGAAACTTTTTCTGAGATATCTATTCTAACACCTGATGTCAATGAATCATGTATTATATATATTGTTATAGATTATAAATTGTTTTTATAAATAATTTTGAAGAATTTCAAAAAATATTATAAATTGTTTTGATAAAATCAATTTAAATATCACGTGACAAAACTTATCTCATTAAAAATATTATAAGTTAAAATGAATTCAAACAAAAAATTTGTACATAATGTACTGTAGCATTATCTCCTCTAGCATGTTAATCATCCCTAAGAACAAGATTTCTCTATTCTCTAGGTATGTTTTCCAATATTTTCGATTATGGTTTCACAATGCATAACTCCTTATCTTCTCGTAAAGATATTGTTGCTTTTTTAACTCAACAAATAAAGTTTCTCAAAGAAAATTGTTCAAGTTAAAGTGCTTGAAATGAATTTCTACCTAGTGTTAACATAAGGTATTGACTTAAATCAAGAGAACAAATATTGAATCAATAACATTATGGATCAAATAAGTGAAGAATGTGACTTACAGTTGAAACGGCGAGCGAGGAAGGGCGTGAATCGGCCGATGTAAAATCGTGAACGGCGTGAACGGAGTGAACGACGTGAAATGGCGGCAAGGAGATATGAAACGGCGGCAAGGAGACGTAATCAAATTTCAACAAACCGCATCATCTGTGTTCATCAAACAAATCTGCAAATTCACAACAAACATCATCATCAATGGCGGTCGAAAACGATGAAACACGAACGGAAACAAACGGTCGAAGACGCTGACCAACGAACAGAACCACCGCGGTCGAAGACGACGACCAGAAACGGCGGTCGAAGAACCTAATAATCGTGAACGAAAACGTCGATGATGGTGGTTGGGAAACGGCGGTCGTAAGGTTTGTGAAACGGCGGTCGTAAGGGTTGTAATGAAAATGGCGTATGCGTACAGTGGAAAGGAGTGAAACGGCGGCAAGGAGAGTTTGTACAGTGGAAATATTGAAATATTGTGAATTTGGGAAATAAGGGTTTGGAACATTTTACATCGGTGGAAATGAATACCCGATGTAAGGGTTTGCATAGTGGAGAAGCTATTACATCGGTGGATCCTAATAACCGATGTAAGGGTTTTGAACCTATTACATCGGTGGATACTAATACCCGATGCAAGCTTCTTTTTCTAACTTTTTTACATCGGTTTAAACTTCCCCCGATGTAATTGTTTTAATTTATTCTTTAATTTATTTTTTATATTAATATCTGCTGTGAAGATATTACATCGGTTTTTAGTTAACCGATGTAATATGTTGCTTGTTTTTTATTAATATTTCTACTACCTTGTTTCTTATTTACAAAAATGCCACCGTATTTTTTTCTGAAAACTTTTTACATCGGTGGATGCATTTGCCCGATGTAATAGGTAGCGAAATATATTTTTTTTCTTATTTTTTATATCATTGCAAATAAATACCTGATGTAAAAAGTTTGTTAATTGTATTTTTTATATCATATATTTTGATACCCGATGTAAAAACCTTTTCTCAAATGTCTTTTTTTTAGTAGTGCTCACATCAATTTATATAAGAAAAATATTAGTGTTTATAAAGCAAGCACTCATATACAATATTAAATTGAAAATAGGTTGATAGTAAATGGACCTTATGCCAAATATGTTTCAAATTAAATTTTTGTTTAAATAATTTATTTCTTAATTTAAAAACAAAACGAAAAATATTAATTAATATATATCCTATAAAATAATTAATTAATATATATTATGTAAAAAATTTAAAATATTCTATAAAAGAATTAAAAAGATAAAAAATAATCCACACAGATTTGTAAAAATAAATAAAAATAAAAAATTTCCACCTAAATTGGCAATTCAATAACAAAATCGAATATAGGTTCAAATGGTGCGAGGCTATAACGAGAGAATCTTGATATTACGAGGGGACATAAAATAATTTACAGGAGACTAAAATTAATATGGTTTACGTTGTAGGATAATGTTGTATATTTAACTCTTATTTAATAATTATAAAATTTTAAATTCAATTATTTGTTTAGGCATGATTGTTATTGGTGTTATATATATATATATATATATATATATATATATATATATATATATATATATATATATATATATATATATATATATATATATATATATATATATATATATATATATATATATATATATATATATATATATATATATATATATATATATATATATATCCCTAACTCAATGATTTTGGATCATTAAAAGCTATAAATCAAATTGAAGTTTTTTTAAAAAAAGTAAGGAATATAATTAAACTAGTTCTTGCATTGATTTTTAAGTCATATATTTATTTTATTTTATTTTATTTTAAATTAAACTACTTTGATTATTTCAAAATATTCAATAAATACAAGCGATTTCAACAACTAATCATCCCTCATAAGAACTAAAAAAAAAAAGAATATAAAAACTATTACCCAATAATATCATTAAGATAATAATTTACTTTCTAAGTTTTTTATTATTCCAATACATATACACCATAATATCTATAATTCATTTTCCTATATTTGTGGTATCAACAATTTCTTCAAAAATTATGTTATTCCTAGTTTTCTAAAGTTTATAAATTATTTCAGTGGCCGCCATTTTAATGGCAGCAGCTCAAGCCTCTTTTTCTTTTGTTTGATGAAGTAGCCATTTACTTTCATCATGCCAGTCTCCAGGAACATGATCTATTCAAACTCAATTCAAAACCTTCATCCATATACTTTTCATGGTTTCACACTCAAAAAATAAATGTTTCACCGATTCATTTTTCAAGCAGAAACAATATTTTGTATTATCAACCATTCTGAACTTACACAATTTGTCTTTAGTTGCCATCTTCTCATGACATACAAGCTATAGAATAAATTTGGCTCGGGGTCTAGCATTGTTACCGTACAGCAAATTCCTCCATTTTATCTTTTGGGCATAATCTTGTTGGATCCTATAGGCCTTGCCCATATCGAAATCGTTTCATCCCATGATTTCTTCTCATTCCTCCATCTTCTTGAATTCATCTCTTTGGATTAAAATTGCTTTCATAATCCATGTATCATTAGGCTTGATCTCAATATCCATCAGGCTTTTATTTTTTACATAGTATGTTTGGATCCACCTTACCCAAAGTGAATCAGCCTTTCCACTCAAGTTCCATAAAAGTCTTATCAAGTTGGTTATGTTTCACACTTCTATGTCTATGACATTCAACCCTCTATAGCATTTGGGTCTACACACTTTCTTCCAAATTACAGGTGCCTTACAGCTACCCTCAAACCCCTTTGTCCATAAAAATATGTGGCAAATGGTTTCAATTTTCTAGAGAACACTTTTGGAGAATGGAAAACAATTCAGCCAGTAATTAATTAAAGCAAATGTCATATTATTAATAAGTTGTAATCTCCTCATATACGTAAACATTCGAGTGGTTCAATGCTTTATCTAACCCACAATCTTGTTTATTAATGGCATATAGTAATGAGTAGGTAGCTTTTTACATGTCACAGGAACCCCTGGATATTTTTAAAGGCAATTTTCTATGTTAGAAATATAATTTCTAAAATTATTTTTTATGTTAGAAATATAATTTTTGTTGTAATTAGTTGGCTAGTATGATAATCTTAATTACATTTAAGATGATTTGTTTTGGTCTAGTTCATCTTTTCATTGGAACTCAAAAGTGGACAGTTTTACAACACTCACTTGATTGGAGCTCATAAGTGAACAGCTTTACACCACATAACATGATAAACCTTTTCATTTCATTATTTAATTTCTAGTTATAGATGAACAACTTTACACCACATAACATGATAAACCTCTTCATTTCATTTTTTAATTTCTAGTTATAGATGTTTATTTTAAATATTGAGTTTTAAATTGTATTATCACATATTTATATGTGCGTTATTTTTTATTTTATTTTGAGTATATCATTTATAAAAATTTGAGTATTATGAATACTATTTTTTAATACAATTTCAATAATTTTTGGAAGTTTTAAATCTCTGCAATAAAAATCCCGCAGTTTAAAGAGGATACTCGAGGGTTAATTAAAACCCTCACAATCAAATTTTAAAAGTTCCACAAAATAATTTGTAATCAGTCGCTTTTTTTTTTTTTTATAGTGGTTGTCTTTTGTTATAAATTTCATTAAAAATTTGACTATACTTGTGATTGGATCCAAACGATTGTTTCTGAACAAATATATTGACATGTGTGTCCTATTTTTATATTACATTTCATAAGGGTTAAAGCATATCCGAGCTTTTCAGTCAGTTTGGAATAGACAAAAATTGATCCAAAATTTTATCCGCTAGTCATACTAACAAAAGTTTAATTTGAAATTTATTCACTCCAGCAAGTGTAAAATCATGCATGTTAGAGGGCTATAGCAATAGGGGTGGACACTCAACTCGCATTTTCTTGAGAGACTCAACCACTCATCAGCTCTCGTTTCTGCTGAAGGATTATAGATTTATCTTTCATCAAGTCTTCTATTCTTATAGCACCTAATTATTCCTATTTCCCCATATCATTCCATGTGGGACTGTGACATAATATAACGCATATTTCATCATCTCATGCATTAGCTTTTCGGGCTACTGAATTTTGAACCATATTATTAAGTTCTAATTTTGATTGCATAACATTTTGTCTAACACTACCATTCTTCAAAAACACAACATATGGTTTACGTACAATTTAACTGTAATTCTTTATCATGTGATGTTACGCAGTACGCACAATATAACGATGTAAGTAGCCTTCAACTTTATTTATACCAAAAACATGCAAAATATAACAACCATTCATTTTCTTCTTTATATTCATGGAAATCCACCTCCAACTCCTCCACCTGCTCCACTACCAAATCCTCCACCGGATCCGGCACCACCGTGTCCACCACCACCACCGCCTCCAAATCCTCCCCCACCACCTCCTCCAAGTCCACTACCAGCACCAGCACCACCTCCAAATCCGGACCCTCCTCCAAATCCTGAACCTCCACCAGTACCACCTCCTCCGCCAAATCCACCGCCACCACCACCACCAAAACCTCCTCCACCGCCAAGTCCACTACCAGAACCACCACCAGCGCCAAATCCACTTCCGGAACCAGCACCTAACCCTCCTCCACTACCGCCACCACCACCAAAACCACCTCCACCTCCAAATCCACCACCAGAACCACCACCTGCACCAGCACCTGCACCAAATCCGCTCCCTGAACCACCACCTATCCCTCCTCCACTACCAAAACCACCACCTCCTCCCGCGCCGGCACCTCCACCGAACCCTGGATGATAGAAATTCTTCTCATCTCTTAAACCCTTATCACTCCCAAGCTTCCTTGCATGAATGCTACTACAAACAAGAACACCAAGAAGCACAAAAAGGCAAACCCTAGAAGTTGAAGCCATCTTGTGCTGTAGATAGAAACTTAAAAAACTTGAAGTTATTTGTTGTGGAGGAAAAGAAGTGAAGCTAGGGTTTATATAGCAATGTTAAGGCAAAAATAATAGTATTAATCAGTATGAGAAGGCTTTAAATTAAGGGCAACTTCTTAACCATGCAATAACGCGTTGAATTCATAAATGTTTTCAACTGTATCCGTTTGAAAAAGAGAGTAAATAGTTAATTCCTAATTGCTTACGTATGTCTTATACCCTTTACTTATCCATTAGTCGTCGTGTATTATTATATTAATAAAAGGTGACTACATTTTTAAGTCATCATAAAACTTAAGAATAGTATTGGTAAAATGAACACCAATTCGAGGTTTTCCGCGGATAAAAAACGTTGTCACTAGTACAATTTTATGGTTTATTGAATATCTATAAGTAAAATTAGTGGATACATGTATTCAAAATAACTGTTAATAATTATCAAAATTATTTAAATATTATTTTATTGAATCTAAAATTATTATTATTATTATTATTATTATTATTATTATTATTATTATTATTATTATTATTATTATTATTATTATTATTATTATTATTATTATTATTATTATTATTATTATTTTGTTAGTATAATTATGTGATAAAAAAAAGAATAAAATAAATATGATTTATTTTGGGCTGAATTTGAAACTATTTCTTAATATATTGAATAAGTTTTTTTTACTAAATTATAAATTTTAAAATTTTTATTATTTAAATAATAATATCTAAAAATATCCATAAATATTTACGTATATCTCAAAATTCACATATACTCATCTAATAAATACTCACACGAGAATCGAGCGAACACCGAATGGATTAATAGCGCAATACTAATACTTCTATTTGTGAGTATCGATTACCATCTCTATTTAAAAATCTATTTGTAAATTGATTTTGAGATTTTTAAAGTATTTATATGCTGATATGTTTTTCATGTTTAAAAAACAATAAAATATAATATTAGATTATATTGTACCGTAATATGTTGTCTTTTTAAACTATTAGATTATTGGTCAAATTAAAGATTGAAGTTTTGAAAAACAAAGTGTATGAAAGTGAAAACTGGAAATTGTGTAAATGAATTGTTGATTTTGAGAATTATAGATGATGTGTATGTGAAACAGTGCAATTTTTGGATATTGTGGATGAATTGTCCCTGAATTGTTGATCTATTTATAGTGAAAATTAGGTCAATAAAATAGAAAAAAATAATTTTTTAATGAGGAAGTTGACCAATCAAAAATTAGGGTGACACAGGACGACCAATAGAAAATAAGCCGAAAAGATTTAATTTTTTAAAGATTTTGTTGGACACTTTTTGATGAAAACTATATAAAATAAATTAAAAATAATTATTTAAAAAATGCCTAAAATGGAAAAAATAAAATTAGTGTTAAAATAATTTAAAAAAAATACAATTTTGTGGTTTTTTTAAAAATAGAAATAAAGTTAGTAACAAATGAAAGGAAAAAAGTTTAAAAAATAGAACAAGTGAAATTTGAACTCGTGATCTTATACTTGCAAGTCTTATCTCCTTACCAATTGTATTATTTTATTTATTTGAAATAAAAAGGCATTTGAAAGCATATAAAGGTTGAGAAAATATTTGATATTTAAAAATATAAATAATTTAAAGTAAACTATTATATTTATTTAAATAAGCCAAATAAATTGAAAATATTGAAATGTTAGTAAAAGTAAACCAAAAAATTTTATAAAGCTCAAATTTAAAAATAATTTGATTGTTAGAAATAGGGCGAACAAATAAGGGGTGTGACAATCTGGAGTTTATGGGAGCATGTTGTTTTGGTGCTGACAAAGTAGTATGTACTTGATGTCATATATGTTGTCTTGACATTCTGTATAGAATGATTTTGCTAAAGTTGTTTATGGGAGAATTTATTTCTCTCTGTTGTTGTGATCTGTGAGGCTGAGATTTATTCTTTTCCGCTGTGTATGCCTCTTATATGAACTGGTGTAGTTATAATTTGTTGTGCAATATATTGAAAACGTTTCCTTGAAATAGTGATGCTTGTTTATCTCTCTTATGTGTTGCTTGTTTTTGGATGTTTTGTGCAAAGATATTGTTTTAGCCAAAATGTTCCCAAAGTGGGAGATTGTTAGGTTCCGGCTTGTTGGCTGCATTTTGGTAAAACAACGTGTACAACAAGTGTTGGGCAAGATGTTGTAACATGTTTCTATGGTATTGCAACTTGTTCTATTTCTATTTTCAGAAGATTTGTTTCTAGTATATTTTAGAAGATTTATTTTTAGTTTCTTGTGGATCAAGCAACGCTTTTGAAGATTGGATTCTCTGAAGATCTATTTCAAGTTGAAGCTATCAGATCATTTGATTTACAATGTTTGGATGTTTGTATTTTTTTATGCTTTGTGTGTAAATGATGTTTCCTTAAGGGGTAGCTTGATCCTGTGTGACAGGGGGAGTTTTGTGTTAGGAGGAGTATGGTGCTGGTGTGTTGAGAGTTTATTTCTCTCTTGTGTGTCGTAATATATTGTTGAGATGTTGTTGTTGTGATGTCAGACAGTATGTCATAACACCTGGTCTCTTAAGAAATTTTGGAGCGTGAGAGTTTATTTCTCTCTATGTGCTTGTACATTTGCTTTGCTGCATGTGCCTCTGATACAAAACTCCCCCTGTCACACATGATCAAGCTCCCCCTGAAGGAAACATCCTTTACACACAAAGCATTAGAAAAAAATCTCCAAACTTTATAAATCAAATCTTCTGATTGCTTCAGCTTGAAATAGATCTCTAGAAAATCCAATCTTCAAAAGCGCTGCTTGATCCACAAGAAACTAAAAATAAATCTTCTAAAATATACCAAGTATGCGGGTATTTAATGTATCTTGTGTTTTGTGATTGTTTGTTATTTTTTATTCCTTATCTTCAGCTATATTATACAAATGTTGTTTTAGCTAAAATTTATCAAAGGGGGAGATTATTAAGTTTGTGATTTTATGATTGACATCAATTTTGCTAAAACATGTATCACAGCCAGATGTTGAGCAAGATGTCGTGACATCTTGATCAAACATTGTAATATGCACAACTTTACTTCTTGAAAGATTTGGTTTATTTATTGTGAGATTCTCTTCTATGTTATCTCACATATTTTTCGCAGTTCAAGAAGGGTTAATTTTGGAACAATTATTCGTATTCCAAATGTGCACTTGTTTCATAAAATTGGATGTTTAGGCATTTTAGGAAACATGTGATGTTGTTCCTTAATTTAAGGATAAGTTTTTGCATAAATTATGCAGCAATCAGTTTATGGATCTGCATCAAATTTATTGAAGATCTCGAAGCCCATGCTTGCCAAAGACATTTAATAGGACATTCAAAACCTAATGCAAGAGAGAAGTCGTGCGCATTAAAGATATATTTAGGGTTTAGTCTGTTCTTTGTTCTGTGTGATCCATTGTATAGTATAGTTGAAATATGTTTATTGTGAGCCATTCATGTATCTCTTGGATGCTTGAATTGGACTTTGTTTGAGTTGTAATTGTAAATCACTCATAAGATTTTAAGCAAGAGTATTTTTATGTCTTTGAAGAGTGTCTTCATCTTTCTATTATCATTGTTAGTTTATCAATGTTGTGTAATTGAAGAAAAGAGAGAGGAGTCTCATATCTAAGAGTATCTTAGATATAAATAACAAGCGTGATGATTAGGTGAGAAGATTGTAAACCAGAGGTTGTTTACTTAGGCTTCAAACTAATACTATTTCAGTGGATTTACTCCCTGACTTGGATGTCCCCGGATATAGGTGATGTTGCTCCGAACTAGGTTAACAATTATCTGTGTTATTTACTTTCATCAGCTTACCTTTCTTGCATTATTGTTTCTGTTGTTGTGACTGATTTGATATCAGTGCCGTGACATCTAGTTCGACATCTCACATTAATGTACCAAAATTTCAAGAACACTCTTAGGGAACAAGTCCAATATTTTGATAAAATACTTGTGAAGACTAACGTGGCAAATCAGACTAGATCTGTGGTAAATAGTGAAACCCTAATATGAAGATTATGTAGAAGATTTGATAAGAACAAAAGTAAATCCCAAATATGGAAATTTTGTTAATGGTCTGATAAGTACCAATGTGGATCCCTAATATGGAAATTGAAGTAAATGTGTGATAAACATTATGGAAACCCTTACATGGTAATCGAGGTTAATGTGTTTCAAATATGGTTTGGAGGTTTAGACATGACTCGTGTTTGTTTGATAAGCATATATCATACTATATCGAAGTTGGTATAATCTAGAGAGAGTGTGTAGTACGACGTAACTCGCATGTATTCCTAGGCATTGCATGTCTACAGACGTCTAGGAGATCGTCGTAGTACGAGTGTAGCTTGCATGTACTTCTAAAAGTAAAGTTTAGAGAAGAAATTTTTAGTGTGTACGTAGCTCACATGTCCTCTTTGACATTGCAGAGTCTACGAGCATCTAGGAGAGTGTTTTAATGCGGGAAAAAGTTCATATGCCTTCCTAAACTATTAGAGCTCTGGAAAATAAACTCTGAGTGTAGTGATACTACCACTTGAATTCGAGTAGAAAAAAGTGTATTGTATAAGCATTCATATGCACGTTCTGTAATGTCATATGATTTTATGAAATATTGTAAGATTATGTAATGTTGTTTGTCGTGATTTATGTTGCACTTTGCTGTTATTATACCATACATTTTGTAGAATGTATTCTCACTCCTCTGTTTTTATGTTCTTCAATGTGGACTATATGTAAGATATCCTTATATTGAGATTGAGGAATAGTTGTGTGGCTATAAGCATATTGAGGATGGTGTAGAAGATCAATCCATTAATTTACTTTTTTTTGATGTATTCTAAACTGTTAAGTCAGCTAATATATTTAGATTTGTAATAATGCTCTGATATTATGACATCGAAGTTGAGATTTACTTTTAATTTTCATGTTTGAT